GAGCTTCTGGCAACCATAGCGAACAGGAGAGCAGGACCGATGCTTAGCTCATTAGACGACCAGGACCCCACTCTGACCTCCACATCCCCCCCATGAGATGTGTCTAGAATCAGGAGGGCGAGAAGGGTTCAGTCAGCTCTGAATGTGTCTGGGCGTGAGCGGGGAAGATGAGAGAGGGGTCGGAAAGAAGATGGGCTCCTCTCCTGTGACACAGGCCAGACAGTTAGCAAGCCGCGATTGACCCTACTGTGTGCGAGGCCTTTAGTAGGCCTCGGGAATACGGTGTTCTCTGTCCTCATGGAGCTTAGAGTGCAGTCAGGGTGCGGGGTGCATAAGCACTTTGGGGTGAGCCCCGCCCGCACGGCTCTTCTCCCCCTGCAGCTGGATTCCGGGGCGGTGATCCACCTCCTGGGGGCCATCAGCCACGGGCAGGCAGGAGGGGCGCGGCCGCTGAAGCTGGAGGCCCTGGAGAACATGATGGAGGTCAGCGCAGCCTCACCTGCCCAGAGGCCCAGGAGGAAGATAAGGCGCCAGGCCCACAGCCCCACTTGGTGCCAGGTACAGAACACGCGCCTTTTAGCTTCATGAATGGAATGTGGTTCTTCACTTAGGCGATGTCCCCCAATCCTGTTGAGAGAGACACCCTCACACTGACTCTCAGAGTGGCCACTGCAGCCCAGAGAGATGCTGTTGCTCCCGGTCACCCAGCAAGCAGCGGCCAGAGGGTTAGGCCGCCACCTGGCCCGCGCCGGGGGTCTGCGTGCTCCTTGCTCCTGGCCACCCCGAGTTCTTCCGGTTGCCTCCCTCAGGAGGGACAGAGTGGGGCTCTGGTGGCGTCGCTGACCCCTCCCGCCGTCTGGGAGTGGCTCCCTGGCCCTCAGGGACCCCACTCCTCCTCCACACACTCTTTCTCCTGCAGGAGGGGCTTCCTGTTCAGGAGGCCCGTGCTGAGTGGCCAGGGGTGAGTGCGTCCACCCCGTCACGCGGCCTCCTTCAGGGAGAATGTGGGAGAGGGGGTGTGGCTGGGGGAAGCTGTGTCCCTGCGGGGCCACGGGCTGGACCCAGCCGCGTGGCCTCAGCTCCTCCCCTCCCCCACAGTCCAGTCCAGTGGAGTCTGAAGAGGAGGAGCCCGAGGACCAGGACTGGGAAGAGGACGCAGGTGAGGGGCCGCCTGTCTTCCGAGGACGGGTGGGGACTGAAGGGGGCTGGTGCCCAGCAGTCCCTGGGAGACAGGATATGTCTCTTCTCCCCTCACCCCCCAGTCAGCTTCTAGTCCTTCCCCAAAGAGGTAGGGGCTGATGGCTGCCTGGGCTCAGCTCTCAGGCAGATGGGGGTGGGACAGGGTCCCTGAGACGCGGGCCCCTCCTTTCCCTGCCTAAGCCCCTCAGCACGGAGTCACTTCCTCCCCTTGCCCCCGAGCATCCCCTGGGGAACCCTGATCCTTTTTCTCCACAGCTCAGCTCCAGCTCCAAAAGGACATTGGGGTACGGCACACTGTGGTCCGTGTCATGCGGAAGGTGCTGTGGAGTCGGTAAGGCCTTGCTCCCCACTTCCCTGACCCCTGACGGCTACCACCACCTCCCTGGGCCATGCCATGTTCTGAGGCAGGGGTGGGGAACCTTCTTTCTCCAAGGGCCATTTGGATATTTATAACATCATTCGCGGGCCATACAAAATTATACTTAAAAATTAGCCTGCTATAAAAAAAATAGCCTGCTATAGTTGGTCAGATATTTTATTAACTCACCCCAGTGCCTTGGCAGGGCCAGACCAAATGGTTTCGCAGGTCTCATACGGCCGGAGGGCAGGGTGTTTCCCACCGGTCTTCCAAGGGCTTTTGTGTGTATGACGAACCCATTTTGTAGCCGTGAGGTCAGTTGCCCACACAAAGAGTGAGAAGAGAGACGAACTTGACCCTGGGCCTCTGTGGCTTCAAGGCTGCACTTTCCCATTAAGCCCCTGTGGCTCAGGGTCTGCTCAGGTCCTTGTGGGTGTCACCACAGCAAATGTTTTCAGATCCAATGAGACTGTGGTGGGATCTCAGAGATCTCAGCCCAGGCTCTCATTTACCAATGGGGAGACCAAGGTCCAGGGAGGGCGGGACTTTGCAAAGTCCCAGCAGCCTTTGCCAGTTTGGCTCAGAGGATAGAGCGTCGGCCTGTGGACTCAAGGGTCCCGGGTTAAGGGCATATGCCCGGGTTGCGGGCTTGATCCCCAGTAGGGGGCCTGCAGGAGGCAGCCAATCAATGATTCTCTCTCATTGATGTTTCTATCTCCCTCTCCCTTCCTCTCTGATAGCACAAAAATAAATTTAAAAAAATAAAAAATAAAAAGCCACCCAGCAAATCAATGGCAGATTCAAGGTTTCACCCATGGCCAGGGCTCCGTCCTCTGCCTTGGCTGATGCCTTACCCTCCCCGAGGCTGTCTCCCCTTATACTCTCCCCAGTCCCACTGGCCAGGGCTAGAGCGTGAGCGGAGCAGTCAGATTTTGCTTTGCCACTAATCATATGGCCTCGGGCAAGCCCCTTCCCTCCCCTGGGCCTCAGTCACCCTTCTGTAAATGGAGACTCATAACACTTGTTCCTCAGAGAGGTGGGGTGAGAATAAATGGGTCCATGTAGGAGAATGCCCAGAGTCAAAACAGAGTTGGCCCAGACCCTGCCGCCCACCGTATCTCTCCCTGCTGGCCCAGGGCCGGGTCAGCTCACAGCTCAGGGCCGTGTCCCCCACAGCCTCCGGGAGGTCCCAGACGTGGCGCTGAGTAAGGAGGTGGTAGAGGGCATCGCCGCTGGCATCGAGGCAGCCCTCTTCGACCTGACACAAGCCACCAACTGCCGCTACAAGACCAAGTACCGCAGCCTGCTGTTCAACCTGCGCGACCCCAGGAACCCCCTCTGAGCGGGTGGGGCTCTGAGTGGTGTGGTGCAGCCCCTGCCCCTGCCCTGCCCTGCAGGACCTGTTTCTCAAAGTGGTTCACGGAGATGTCACCCCCCACGGCCTGGTGCGGATGAACTCAATCCAGCTGGCCCCCCAAGAGCTGGCCCGCTGGCGGGACCAGGAGGAGAAAAGGGTGAGGTTTGGGGTCAGGTCAGGATAGGTGACAGGATGGGGGGTGGTGTGGAGGGGTGACCCGAGTGTGGAGCAGGGAGAGAGAGACAGAGCAGAGGGAGGAGGGAGGTGATGAGACACGGGGAACACAAGACGAGAGAAACATAGAAACGAGGAAACGAAAAGAGAGAGCAGGCAGACAGGGAGAGAGCCAGAGAGACTCCACCAAAAAAATTAGGAAAAGCGGCAGAGAGGAAAGGGGTTAGGGATGGAGAGCTCGGTAGAGGAGCGACACCCCGAGAGGTGTTGCCTTCCACTTGCTTTTCTGTGAAGCTGGGCT